TCGTGTGGCCCCATTTTTCTCGGATCAAACAAGCTTTTACTGGGGCAAGTAATTCGAGGATATCCAAGTTATACAGATTTGGTTTATTTGAACTGATCTGAATATTCATATTAATTATAAATATTTTTATTTTTATTTTTTTTTTGTCTAATTTTAATTTTAATTTTAAAAAATTAATATTCTCAACTTTTTTCTTATTTAATATTATTTTTGTTGCAAAAAAAATATTTTTATAAATTTTAATAGTATTTTTGAGCCCATTTACTTAAAATTAAAAAATAAGTGATTTTTAGATAATTTAGAGATTCTATAAAAAGAGATCTATTTTGTAAAGATTCTATAAAAAGTAGATATTATCTTATGTTGGTTATAATAATAAAAAAAGTAATTATTAGTTAGATATGTTTAAATTTTTTAATATCTTCTTTAATTTTTTATTTTTAAAAATAATTTATTATTTAATTATTATAAAATTTTATGATATTTTTATGTATCACTTTTTTTAAGACATTCTCTCTCATCTACCCCATCATATTATTTAAAAAGTTACTTTAGAAATCTTCTTTTTCTTTTAAATTTGATTATTTTTAAAAGTTTAAGACTCGTGTGTTTAAAATTTAAAAATAAATATTTTTTAGATTTTATGAAAAGAAATTTATTTTGTAAGTATTTTTTAGAAAGAAGATATTATTTTATATTTAGTTACAATAATAAAATGTGATTATTAATTAGTTATTGGGAAAATATCAATTAAGGACCACTGGAGTATATTTATATCAATCAAGGATTAATAGATTCTGAAATTTCACTATAGTCCCTTGGTCCTTGATTGATATTAATTTTTATGTGAAACGACCAAATTACCTCTAAAATATAAAATAATAAAAAAAAGTCACTCCAACTATCACAAATGCTAGCCATCGGACTGTCGCCGGAGACCTATCATCACAGTCGATAACTTTTTTAAAAAAAATGGTAAAGGTGGCCAAAGGGGGTTTGATCCGATAACCCCTTGGCCACCTAAAACCTTTAGGCCACAAAGAACTTTTAATTATATATAGCAGAAAAATGTAGCAATTTAAGTTTCTAAACTACTTTCAAGTTATAACATAACGGTGTGTTGTTAATTTTAGAATAACACTTATTAATGAAGGACTAAACTACTAATGTTACTTGTTAATTTAGCATGGTCAATTATAAATTAGGAGCTTTAAAACTTTATGCATCTTATTTGTTAAAACTTGAATGTATTGTTATTATCACGAAATGATTGTTGTCAAAACACGAATGGATACTTGTTGATGATGACTAACACTTGTATAATTAAGCTCATCCTATCAATTTTTGTTAAAACCTAAATGGATTGCTATTAATTTCAAAATAATTGTTGTTAAAGCTTGAATAGATGCTTGTTGATGATGACTAACACTTATATAATTATGTCCATCTTATCCATTTTTATAATTTGTTAAAGCCTTGATGAATTGTTGTTAATTATGAATGCATTATTGAAAAACTCAAATGAATACTTATTGATGAAGGACTAAAACTTGTGCAGTTAAACCTATCCTATTCGTGTTTCCTAGCTTGTAAAATCCTAAAAAGGTTGTTGTTAATTTGTATTTCATTGTTGTCAAAATCTAAATGGCTTGTTGTTTATGCATTCGTTCTATTAGATCTGTGCTTTCAATCATAAAAAAATAAGTATCCATTTGGGTATTCACAACAATGCATTCATAATTAATAAAAATTCATTTGGGGCTTTACCAAGTTAGAAAATTGAATAAGATGAACTTAAACTATATAAATGTTAGTCCTTCATTAACAAATATTCATTCAAGTTTAACAATAGTTATTTTGAAATCAACAACAATCCATTCAGATTTTAATGAAAAGATGATAAGATGTGCTTAATTATATAAGTGTTAGTCATTCATCAATAAGTATCCATTTATATATTGACAATAATCCAATACATTTTGACTTTAACAGGTAAAGTGCATGAAACTTTAAAGTTCCTAATTTGTAATTGGGCATGTTAGATTAATAAGTAACATTAGTAAAATAACAAATATTGTTCAAGAATTAACAATATACCGTTATGTTATAATCTAAAAGTTGTTTAAAAACTTGTATTGCTACATATATGTTTTTGTCATATATAATTAAAAGCGTTTGGTGGCCTAGTTTTTTGATGGTCAATGGGTTGTGGGATCAAATGCCTCTTTGGCCACTTTTACCAATTTTTTTTTTTTTAAAGAATGTCATTGGGGCTGAAGCTCCAGTGACCGGCCATAGGTGACCATGCCTATAGTAGGATCTCCAACTACACTCTGGTGGTCGGCGGCAGTGATAGTGAGGGTAACTTTTTATTATTATTTTATATTTTGAGAAAATATTGTACGTTTCACATAAAAATTAATGAGTTAAGGATTAAGGGACTATAGATGAATTTCAGAATTTATTGGTCATTGACTAATATAAATATACTCTAGTGATCTTTGATTGGCATTTTCCCTTAGTTATTTTTAAATTTTATGATTTCTTTCTTTATTTTTTTTTAAATTTATTATTTAATTATTTTAAAATTTTACGATATATTTGTCTATCCTACCATTTTAAAACATTCTCTTTCATCTATTATATAAGATTATTTTAGAAAGCCACTTAAAGTATTTTCTTGAAATAATCAAAAATTTATTCTTTTTCAGACTCTAATTATTTTCAATATTTTAAAAAACATAATTAAAATTCATAAAATAGATATTTTTCAAAAAAATAAGGATTTTTTTCATAAAATAAACTAAAATAAATAAGTTTTTAAACAAACATTCTAAACTTGACAAAAAAAAAACACAAACATTCTACACACCCACAAAATAGATATTAAAAAAAAAGTGATGTTTTTATAAAATAAGTTAAATAAAAAAACTCTTTATCTCACAAGAATTAATAATTTAAGGTTGAATAAAGCCATGGCGACAGAACATGTAGATTAATTGCTGTTCAAACAAGAAAAGAACATGTAGATTAATTTTTTTTTCAAATTTAAAATGAAAAAAGTGGGAAGGATGAAAGACTCAATGGTAGAAGTGGAAATCAGAGCAGGCTTGACCTTTATGAGTCCAGCCCTTAAAGGTTCAGGTTTTAAAATTCAATTACCTAAAATTTAACCTAATTTTAAAGCCTGGCCCTTATTTACAGGGCTCAAGGCCTGGCCTTTAAGCTTTCTTTTCCAAAAAAATCAAACATTTTAATTTAAACATAATATTATAAAATTCAATATAAAATAAATTAAAATCTCACATAAAATTCAAAAAAGATTTAAAATTTTAAATTTAAGATGAAAATTTTTAATCTTCATCAATGTAAATCTAAATTCTCCTCATCATCATTTAAAAATAAAATATTAAATCCATCAGATGTAGGTCCACTTGTTGAAAATAGAAGTGAAGATTTAATGTCAATTATCTCTGCAATTTTTTGTTTATCACCTACAATAAATATTAATTAAATTGTGTGTTTGGTAGTCAAATATATGTATGTATGTGTGTGTATATAAAATAACTTGGTTTATTAGAGTTTGAAGGGTCACTCAAGCCCAAGTTCTTTTTCACAAACTCTCAAATCCGATTACTTTAAAAAAAAATTTAATTTTTAAAGCTCGAACACTTATTTAAAACGAAACTTTCAAACTTAATTTTTTAGGTCCGACCTTTATTCCGAACTTTATTCAATAGAGTTCAACTCTCTTTTATTTTTCAGTTTTCACATTCGTCATGCGTGTGCGTGGGGCAACTGAGAAGAGAGGTGAGAGGCCACTCACGTCCGGTCCTATCATGAGAAAATTATTGCTAAGGACCGGGAAAAAAATATCTATCATAAAGATCATAAAAATTCGAATTAGACTGAAGGACCAAGATAAATGTAATTAACTATTATAATTTTAATGTACAAACATATTAACAATATTTTAAAATTAATGGTATTGCATAAATTATAAAAAAATCTTTAAAAAAACAGTCGTGCGTATTTCAATTTCGCATAAATAAAAAACAAAATATAGTATTAAATTTAATTAAATCAATAAATTTTAAGAAATAATTACTTTTTAAATGATTAATTGACTATAATTTTGAAATCATTACTTTTAAAAATTAAATTTTTTAAAAATTATTACATTTTATGTTTTCGTTGGTTTAAAAAGATTTTTTAGTGTGAATTTATCTTTAGACTTATTTAACATTATGATGAATTGATTCGATGATCATGTGATGATGATATTTAACTCCTCTTTTTTCCAAATTTGCGAATCTTCAAGACACACTAAACTTTTCAGTTGCTTTGATTTCCAGTATTATTTATTTATTTACTATTGCCAGTAACAAAACTGTTAAATTCAATCTCAAATGTAGTTAGAGAAAATATAGAAGATTTAGTTAAGAACAATTTTATATTTTGAAAATTTATATTTTAGTATTTGGTCATTCTCAATAATTATTATTTTTAAGATCATTTATAATAAATATTCTTTTTTTCCGGGTTTTTAGCAACAATTACCCTCCCATCATTATTGGGATCTCCTACCTTTCCCTTCCTCCACGTAACATGCGGTATGGAACAAACCCTGTCCACTCATTTCATACCAAATATTTTTTGAATAAATTTTGGATCAAAATATGAGAAAACTATCTTCGTATTATTTAAAAATAATAAAAATACACAAACAAATTATGTGAGATATGTGTTTTTATGAATTAAAAATAAATACAAAAATAATAATTTTGAAAACGGAAACAAATAAATAATTCATATATAGAATTATACTGTTATGACCTTGCAAAATCTGGTTATCTTTTATTCTTTTATTTTTTTTTTCCAATTCAAATGACTCTGCCTGGCTAAATAAAAAGCAAACGAAGAGGGATCCGTAGAAATAAATAATAAGATTTTAGAAAGACTTGGAAGATATTTTTGGGTAGGGGAGAGAGAAAGGGAGGGATCACAGGTGAGTGAGAGAGACGGAAGCGGAGAGGAAAGCGCAGATCCCAAGGCAGAGACACAACCCAGTAGCAGAAGGTATGTTTTGCTGTTGCCTTCTTCTCTTTCACTTTCAATTGTCTCCACCAAAGCGTCTCTGATCTGTGCTGAACGTTGTGTTTATGCCCAATTTGATTAGATCTGTAGTTTTTTTTCAACTATCTTCATTTACCTCTGCTTCATATATCGAAAATTGACGTCTAGTGAAATCCATTGGCACCTCTGCTTCTCACGGCGGGGTCTTTTTCTTAGTTCTTCAATTTATCTTTATACCGTCTTTATTTTCTTTGATTTTTGGCTCTTAAATAATTGAATGTTATATGTTCAGACTCGCATGAAATACATTCCGGGTCCTATTTAGAAGATGCTTTTAATTAAATCACGTGGATTAAGAAAAATGAGTATAATTAGTGCTGACTTTTGAATTTTTTTTTAATAATGTCTATAGAAATTAAAAGGGAAAATGATAACAAAATTTCCTCAAATCTGGTTTCTCGTAATAATATAATTTTATTGAAATATCTAGGTATTTCTATGTCAATAAATTCTAAATTAAAAAGGCTATTTTACTTTTATTAATAAGTTGTAATTTCTTATTCAATTATTGTGATTTTTTTGAGGAAAGTCATTATTCCTTAAATGAAAATTGTGATTGGGACTTCTTATGTTGAGAACTTTTTTTAATAACAGAAATTACATTTAATAAGTTGTAATTTTTTATTCAACTCTTGCAATTCATAGAGCAAAAGTTATTATTCCTTAAATAAAATTGTGATTAGGACTTGTTATTTTGAGAGCTTGTTCTTCTATAATAGAAATTATATTTGAAAAGTTGTAATTTTTTGTTCAATTATTGTAATTTGCATAAGAAAAATTTAGAAAAATTAATTTTTTAGTCCTAGAACTTCTAATTCACTTGTAACTCAGTTCCTCAACTATGACTTACTGTGACTCAGTCCCTGAACTATGACTTGGTCCCTCAACTTTTGAATCACTAATAATTTAGTCCCTCAACTTTTGTTAATTTTTTTTTTCATGTTAGCTTAGATCTCACATTAATGAGTAAGAGGAGGGTATTTTAGAATAATATATGAGCATTTCTTTTATCCCTCTTATTTGATAAGAAATTTTAAAAAAATTAAAAAATAAGGACCGAATTATAGGTGAATCAAAAGTTGAGAAACTGAGTCACAGTGAGTTATAGTTAAAGGACTGAGTCGCAGCGAGTCATAGTTGAGGGACTGAGTTACAAGTGAGTTAAAAGTTGAGGAATTAAAAGACTAATTTTTTTAAAATTTTTTATTCTCTAAACAAAAATTGTGACTAGGGCTTGTTATTTTTAATAAGAGTAAAATAACTTTTTCACTTTAAAATTTATTGATACAAAAGTTTCTATGGATTTTAGTGGAATTGGCAATTCGATGACCTAGATATATAATTGTTGGGGATTTTATTGTCATTTGTCCAATTATAAATTACTCTTAATCATAATTATCAACTTTATCATTAAATCTTGAAGTCGAATTCAAACAAGATACCCAAATGAAGTATGAACCAATTGATAATGGGCATTTTTGGAAATAATTCTTTGTTATTTCCATCAAGTTTTGTAAGATATTTTGGATTTTTTTTACCATCATAAGATATTTTGTATTAACGATTACATAAAATTTTTAAAAGATATCTTATATTATATTGAGGATCGAAGAGAGTATTTTATATTCTAATTTGATAAGCTTTTCAATAACAATAAAATATGTTTAGTCACGAAAATAATCACAATTTGGAGAGAACCACCCCGCGCATCATTTTAAAAACTTTTGCCTTTTCAAGGAACTCAAACCTGAGTTATAATATATTTTTTAATGTTTTTTATCTTGTTTTTTTAGCATAATAATGAACAGAAAAAAAGAAGAAAGTTGTGGCAAGGAACTGACATGGATCGAGTGTATATGGCCAATCATAGAACATCTCTTGACTCGGTAATTATGCTTGTTTATCTTCTTTACCCAAGATCTCTTGCAAAGCATTTATGATGTAAATTAGCTTCTTTCATTTCAATGATATGATTACAAACATAATTTGGTTCATTTGTCCAACCCACAAGGAAAGAAATTATTTGTGCATTACTTCTAGGAAGATTCGTTGGTTAGTTTAAATCCTTGAGCAGATTTGCATAAGAAAAATGATTTTTTGACATGAACATAACCATTAATTATATATGATAGGTTTTTCTTAACGTATTTTTCGAACTCACCTCTTTTTGAAGTATAACAAATGGCAATAAAGAAGAAGAAGAATGGAGCAACAATAACAAAAAAGCACATGCTATAAATGAAGATGATGAGGGAAGAGTAATCAAAAGAAGCAATAGCAACAAAAAGGTGGAAATCGCATATGATGATGATAATGAGAGAAAAGCAATGAACAATACTGACGAAGGAAGTAGTAACAACGAGAAGGCACATATTGCAGGTGGTGGTAGTGGGAAAGGAGAAATGGACATTAAAGAACAAGGAAGCATTTACAACAAATGGTCACTAATTGGAGATGATGTCTTGGGCTTCATTCTAAACACTTAGGCGTCATTGATTACCTTCAAACCCTAGCTGTATGCTATAATTGGAGGTCCATAGCCATTAAATGCATTGCTAACAAACATTGTCTTCCATCACCTGAATTGCCACTTCTTTTTCTTCAAACAATGGAAATGAAAAACCTTCCTTTCTTCGACTTGCCCAGAGGAAGAGTCTTCAACTCCACAGGGTTATCACATGAATTCTTCCATCATTGCTATGGCACAATAAAAGGTTGGATGATCATGGTTGAATCTTTCAACAATTCTTTTGATTATGTTCAAGAAACTGATGTGCGAATCTTCTTCTTCAACCCAATAATGAATGCTAAGGTCTATATACCGTCAAGGTTGAAAGTAAAAAGTAAAATTAGGAATATTGTGGCATCAACAGAGCCCAATGACCCAAACTGTGTTGTGGCATGTCTCTTTCATCGTAGCTATGTGTTTGCATTTAGTTGGATTTCAAATGAGTCGTGGACTATCGTCAAAGAAGATGTGTCTACAGCATTGGCGTTCATGCATGCAGAGATTATTGATGGAAAGTTGTATGCTTTGACCAATAACTCACTATTAAACTCTTTGGTTTTTATGATTTGCAAAAAGAACCCATAAAAGCCAAAATTTTAGCAAGGCTTCCTAAAGAAGATTTCCTATAATAAGAGGGAAAACGGGTCCCGAGGACTTCATTTATGATGGTGATGGTTGTATTCTTAATTCTTGGGAATCTCATGGTGACATTCTTCGGACTCTTGCAATTGATCCTTCATCAGGGGAGTTGTTCCTTACTTATTTGGTTTGCAACTCAATCTTTAGGTTGAAGGAAATGCTTAATGATACGGCAGGAAAGGAGTATACTAGTCCACCCAAGATTGTGGATAGCCAAGTGTTCAAGTTGGACATGAGTAAAGAACCTAGATGGATAGAAGTTAAAAACTTGGGAAATCGTATGTTATTCATTGGGTATTGGAAAAGTTTTGTGGTGTCTAATGATGCTCTTCAGTGCCCTAAAGAGTTTATCCAAGGAAATTGTATTTATTTTGCTTATCGTTTTCCATGTGTTAAGGGTATCACGGATGAATGGAAAGGCTTGAGAATTGGAAGGCATCGTAGGATGGATAAAATGGTTGATTACTATACATTTGAAAGATCTAGTTTCACTGAGGTGCCATATCCAATTTGGTTCATACCAAGTCTTTCATGATTCTATAACATCTATTGCTTTATATTTTTTAAATATTATTGAAGGTTTTTTGAGGTTAGTGAAGATGTTATTTGTATTTTTTATAATATTTATTGCTATTATTTTATTAATATTAATCCGATATATTAAAAAAAAAGGTAGAAGTAGTTCAAGACAAAGATCTTTAAACTGAAATTTTATTTTATTGCTTATACTTATTTATTAATTATCCACTAAAATGTAAATGCATAAACATGTGAATATTTTGCTCCATACTACTCTAGGGATTTTTCTATCATTAAGGAATTAATATCAATGACTAAATTATCCTTAGTTCAAATATCAATTGATTCACAACTTTTGTTCCAAAATTCACAACTTTTCTTTTTAAAATCACGGATGAATGGAAAGGCTTGAGAATTGGAAGGCATCGTAGGATGGATAAAATGGTTGATTACTATACATTTGAAAGATCTAGCTTCACTGAGGTGCCATATCCAATTTGGTTCATACCAAGTCTTTCATGATTCTATAACATCTATTGCTTTATATTTTTTAAATATTATTGAAGGTTTTTTGAGGTTAGTGAAGATGTTATTTGTATTTTTTATAATATTTATTGCTATTATTTTATTAATATTAATCCGATATATTAAAAAAAAGGTAGAAGTAGTTCAAGACAAAGATCTTTAAACTGAAATTTTATTTTATTGCTTATACTTATTTATTAATTATCCACTAAAATGTAAATGCATAAACATGTGAATATTTTGCTCCATACTACTCTAGGGATTTTTCTATCATTAAGGAATTAATATCAATGACTAAATTATCCTTAGTTCAAATATCAATTGATTCACAAGTTTTGTTCCAAAATTCACAACTTTTCTTTTTAAAATCACAAGAATTCAACAACAATTCGCAAGTTTGCATTTGAAAATCTAATATTTCTCAAATGATGCAAATATCAATTGCCATTCACAAATTTTGTTCTAAAATTCAAAACTTTTCTTCTTAGAGTCACAATAATTTAATAACAATTTGCAAATTCACATTTGAAATCCTAATATTCCTTAAGTGTTGCAAATATCAATTATAATTCACAAGTTTTGTTCTAAAATTTTTAACTTTTCTTCTTAAAATCACAAGAATGTAATAGCAATTCATAAGTTTGCATTTGAAATCCTGAACTAAGGGCAATTGGTCATTTACATTAATTTCTTAATGATAGAAAAGTCCTTAGGAACTTAAGGGAAATTATAGTATTTCGAGGGATCAAAATATCATTTACATAAGTCAAAGGAATTTTATTGTCATTTTTCCTATTTATAATGCTTAGCTGTAAAAATATATAAATAATTAAAGTAAAATATATTATAATTGTTCAAAAAAATATTATATGTATATATATATATATATATATATATTAAAGATATGTGTGTTAATAAATTCTTCCTCAATTCCTTTCATAGTATCTAGGACAAAATTATTATATTAGTATGCTTAGAAGTAGATTAATTACTTGTTGGGTGCTGACCAAAAATAAAAATAGATTACTTATTTGCTTAAAAAAATTATATAGTAGTGACATTTAAGCAATGGTACTTTGAAAAAAAAAAATCTCAAAAAGAAAATGCTGTTAAAGCATTGCCAGCATCATTAAACATTGATAGTGTCATCACTTTTTAATAATAGTCATCATTGGCACCACTTTTAAAAAGGCATCACTATTATAGAAAGAATGTTTCACTTAACTTTTTAACACTGGTTTTAGAATTGATGTGAAAACAATCAATAAGAAAAGTGTCAATCGTCAAAGTTGAAAAGGACTGGGTTATAAGAACTTCGTCTTGAGGACGATGAGCGAGAGAAGTGAGAGAGTGAGTGCGAGTGTGAAAGGGCATGGGTGTTCGATGGGCACAGAAGTCAAGCTGGATGAGAAGGGTGACGAAGGTCTCTCTAAACAAGATGAAGACATGATTGCAAGGAGTACTAGGAAACGATCACCAAAAGTAGAAATGGAGGAATAGGGGAGCGGATGTGATGATGCTCAGATGAAGGAAGCTAAAGAACCCAGGGCTAAAGAACAAGCTACGAAGACAAAAAGCAATGAACAGGCTAAAACCTAAATCTCTTATAAAGAGAAGCTGCTCAGGGAAGAAAACTAGAGTGTTGAGAAAGGATATGATGAACTGATGAAGGAGTGGCTGCAAGAGGAGCAACAGATGATCCCAAAGCTCACGGAAGATCAAAAAGCTATGCTGGATAATTTGCTGCAGATTAATATATCTAATGAGCGCAGGAAGAAGTTATGTATGCCATGGAAGGATGCTGTGATAGTTACAGTATTGGGAAGAAGCATGATGTTGAAGGTGATGCGTGAGAAGATTGAGTGGATTTTGAAATCGTCGAACTTTGAACTCATTGACCTGCTAAATAATTATTTTACCTTTGGATCAGAAGATAAAGCTCTGAGCCAGAAACTACTTTTTGAAGGCCCATGGCTTATCCAAGGCCATTACCTTGCAGTACAAAGGTGGTCTCCAAATTTCAACCCCTATAGCAACTCGATAGGAAAAATAGCTGTATGGGCGAGGGTTCCTACGCTGCCAACGCATTGTTACTCTGAAGAACTAATGCTAGAATTAGGTAATATGTGTGGGAAGGTGCTGAAGGTTTATATGAATACCTTAGCCTACTGTAAGAACAGGGGAACTACGATGGAGCGAGGACATTTTGCTAGAGTTAGCGTTGAGGTGGACTTGAATCAGCGACTAAAATCCAAATTTGTTATCAGAAATAGAATTTACAAAGTTGAGTATGAAGGTCTGGATGTAGTATGATTCCATTGCGGAAAGTATGGTCATAGAAAGCAGGAGTGCTCCCTCTTGCAACAAGAAAAATCTCAGGAACAAGGCTCATTGGAAAAGATGGAAGATCAACCGAAGATGGCAGGAAACCAAAAAGCTAATCAACCACTTGTTAATGACCCTCTCGTTGCTCTCGAGGAGGACCTAGGAGGATGGATGCTAGCTAAAAGGACTTTCAAACAACGGTACGTGAAAATGGATAATAGAGGGCCAAAACAGACTACACAACCTATGAGGTTAATAAATTCTTCCTCAATTGCTTTCATAATATCTAGGACAAAATTATTATATTAGTATGCTTAGAATTAGATTAATTACTTGTTGGGTGCTGACCAAAAATAAAAATAGATTACTTATTTGCTTAAAAAAAAATTATATAGTAGTGACATTTATGCAATGATACTTTCAAAAAAAAATCTCAAAAAAATGCTGTCAAAGCATTGCCAGCTACATTAAACATTGATAGTGTCAGCACTTTTCAATAAAAGTCATCATCGGCACCACTTTTAAAAAGGCATCATTATTATGGAAAGAACGTTTCATGCCGGTTAAAATTAACTTTTTAACACTGGTTCTAGAACTGGTGTGAAAACAATCAATAAGAAAAGTGCCAATAGTCGAAGTTGAAAAGGATTGCATTGAAATCTCATTTTAATAAAAAGAGAAAATATTTAATGCATTTTTAATGCTAGTTATGTACATAGCCCGTGTGAAGAGTGGACATTTAACGCTGGTTATGATCATATATAACAGGTGTTAAAAGTGTACACATTTCACACTGGTTATGAATATAACTGCTATGGAAAGGTATGGTTTTTTTTTTTTTTTTAAATCATGTTTATTTTTCTACTCAACCTTCATATTTACAGAAAATAACTTAGAAATATAGTCAATAGCCAGCCAGAAACTAAAAACCAATCTACTACAACGCATATTTCAACATTTATAATCAAA